GCTCAGGAGTTGTTCTTTTGATTCCAATTCGAGGCAGAGAAATCACCAGCATTTGCTTTCTGTTCTGCAAAAGCAAGATGATCTGTGAAAGGGAAAGAAAGCCAGAGATTCATCTGGGGAGCCAGCATCTGGATGCTCCAGCACATCTTGCTTAGGCAAAAGTCTGCAGGCAAGAAGTGCTCATGGGCATCGAGTAGAAGTGTACAAGGAAGGTCAGTCCAGGAGCTACATCAATGCTGTGAGAAGGCTGAATTTTATAGCATCCTTGCCATAGTTTTACTCAGGGAAGCAGCAGCAGCAGCAGCAACTTGCATTGAATGACAAATAGCAAAGCTCCCCCCGCTCTCCCACAGGGAACATCTGAACAAGAGCACAAACTGCTGACCAAGAAGGGGAAGAAAATACTTCCATGCAACTCCCAACCATTTGGAGCAAAAAAAAAAGAAAGTTACATTCCCCACAAATGAGCCTGGTGTGGAGAACAAGCAAATGCCTGGGCAAGATTGCTACCAGGCAGAGAGATCACCCACCATTACAAACAAAGCCAAAGTAAGTGTTTCGAGTCTCCTGGCCAAGTTCACGAACATGATGCTGAAATTATAAAAATGACTGTTTCCAGTAAATATTGGAGAAGTTTTGTGCATTTCACAGAGAGAAATGCTCTCAAACCAGCCTCCTTGTTTTAAGGCAGTGTTTAAAAACATTCACAATCCATTCATATGCTGGCAGTGGGGTACACAATACAGAGAGGCTGTGTATAGGAGGTATAAAGGCCGATAGCTGACCATGCCATTCCCCATCTGTATCGGCATCCTGAGCAGAGCAAGCGAGCATCCGCTGCCACACACAACGAAGCAGGCAGAGACCTAAGCTGTTATTTCACAGCCTTTTTCTCACTCTCGTTCAAGTGTGATTTGATTCTGTCCAGCTACTTTTACAACACACCATCATCTCAGCCCCGATGCTAGAGCCCAGAAAGCAAGGACTCATGCACTGTCCCCAGGCTCAAACAAGATCAAAGAAGATAAAAGTGAGGTGCTTCAGTCCACTTAGGTACTTAGAAGGAGAACAGAATCTGGCTGACGGTGTTCCTGATAAAAACCTGTGTACCATTTGCATTCAGACACACAGAAGCATGTTTCTCCCCAGGGGATTAGGAGGAAAGCAGTCAGTTCCTGCTCATTTCCTACTCACCAATTAACTGAGCTTACATTACAGCAAATCAAACGTCATAGATTTCATAGACTTCATAGGCATTAGGGCTGGAAGGGACCTCACAAGAAGAAGTCAGCTAGGGTCAAAGGGTCCCACAACTCTTTTCACCACAATTCCAATTTTCTTACATTGAGGTAAATGATCTGAAATAAACCCATACCTGCTATGGTGCAAATGAAGACTTCTGATCAGTTATGACAGTCATGGGGATTGGGTGGTCATAGTTTTCATAGGTATGATAGTACCTGAACAATCAGGAAAAAGGAACACACATAAGAAATTGAGCTAGTTTTCCAAGGACAGGCAATTCCACTGCTTTTAAAAAGAGAAATGGCAAGCAAAATGAGGTACCGTCACAACTGATTGCAGATATTTGTGCTTATGGTTTGGAAAGCTGTTCCGATGCTCACAGTAATCGCATCAGAGGACTACAACATGAATTAATTCACTCACGCCCATACATGCAAGGAAACAAAATGGAACTGTAGAGAGCCTCACCCTTCTTTTTTCTTAGAAGCAACTCTCCAAACAATGCCCATAACCAGTAGAACCAGCAGCATTGTTCCTGAGACTCCTGAAAGAACAAGAAGGGCCCAGTGAAATGGATTGAAGGCACATAGAAATGTAATTATTGGCTTTTGCACAGTGTTAGTAACCTCAAAAATCCCTGATGAAGCAAAGTATGAATCTGAGCACTGGGGGATATATCCCTTCATTTGTAAAGTGGAGTGCTGGGTCATTGCTTAGCTTGTTAGCACTTTATGTTGCTCTCCTACTAGGCTTGGATTTTTTTATGCAAAGGCCTAATTCCTGGTTACTGAATTCAAAAGGCCTTATTCACAGCAAAGCAATTTGTCTGGTGCTGCTTCAGTCCAGCACCTACATTCATAGTGGCACAAAGAAATCAAGAAGCACAGCCTACCATTTAGAGCCCAGGGCACTTCAAGCCACAGAAACTGAGAGAAGTGACGCTGTTGTGATGAATCAAAACCACAAACTTGAACAACTGAGCCAGTGAGTTCAGAGGAAGTCACAAAGCAGAACAGAAGAACGCAGAGGTGAACAACATCAGGGCCCCGGGGACTTTCCCACATCCCATTTGGCCACGCACCTGTTGTTGGGACTTAGACAACCTGGGAGGAGGGAGGCTTTGAACTAAGGCTGCCTGATTACAGAAGTAATACTCCTTTGGTGCCAATGCATTGTTGGAGGCAAGCAAAGGTTTGACACCAGAGATCCTGCTCTGCAAGGAAAGTGCAGGAACAGCAGGCCAGACCCTCAGGTACACTAACATGGATTAGCTCCAACACAGTGATAGAGCTACATCCGTTCACACCGGCTGTGGGTACAGCCTCAAATGCTTTTGATATGCTGCTTACCTGTGACCGCTGAGATTGCACTATAGGAGCCAAGAGAAGGAGAAGCTGCAAAATAAAAAACAGACTTGAGAAGCTGCAAAATAAAAAACACCAGCCCTACCATTCCCTTCAGCAACACTTAAATATTTTCTCTATCTTGATCACGTGGGAGCTTTAATTGGACAGGTCTAGAGCATGAGGTTTGCAGGAAATCTTCCCTGCATTCTCCTAATCTGTAGAAAAGCCCTTGCAGCTCTGAAAGGGAAAGTAAGCATTGACAAGCCAAAAGAGAAAGCTCGGCGCCGTTCCAGGTGGCTGGGCCAGGACGTTGGCATCTGCACACCTGCTATATCAGCTGCTCAGAGGCTGGCAAGGGCTTGGGTCTGGGTCTCATTCACACAGCGCTGAGCTACAAGGACTTCCCTACTGCTTGGAAGATTGCCTTATGCTGACACAGAGAGATACGTTGTAGGCAGGGATTACACATAGGGTCTTCAGGACTGCCTAAGGGAGTTGGGTGCTTAAATCCATCCTATACTTTTCTAGCCCCCACCTTAAATCCACTGAGCCCTAGAGTATCTTCTCTAGTGTAAGGAGGGACTACAAGGTTGTGTCTGTGCAATTTAAGAAACTGTGCCACACCTACACACAAACATGCACTAATTTAACCCAAGTAGTAGTCATAGCAACCACAGTGAATATTCATGATTATATATAATATTGATAAATACATAAATGAATAACTAAGGGAAATAAGCCTGTGTTCAGACAAGACTCCAGAATAAACAGGATGTGAATTGTTGATCATCTTTAGGGCAAATCTCATCTCAGCTTCCTTGCACTTCAGTTTCAACATTAGGTAGAAGACTAAACCCAAGCAACAGATATGCAATTTTTCTCTCTTTTGCTCTGGTTACTAAAGGCCAAATACTATACAAGTCTGTGACTGAAAAGCAGAGGCTGAACTCATTTTTCCATTTTGTCTCCACTCACCTGAGCTGCAGACTGGCATAGAAGGATCCCAGGACAAGTCATCCTGGCACTGAATTAAACTGCTGCCCTCCAACATGTAATCATCATCACATTGTATAGTAAGATTAGTCCCTATAGGATATGTCATTCCCATCATTGCCTTCCCAATACCTGGGACATCTGGGACTACACATCTCATCTCTGAAATTGGAAATCATCAAGTTAGTACCTCTCACAAATGGTGGAAAACCAAGATGCAGAAGATGCATGTACAACCATTCCATTTTACAGTATTGCTCTCTCTCCCCTATCCCCAGGATCATGTACTATCTGGCAGTGGGAAAAGCAGAGCTACTCAGGGCATAAGCCTGGCCCCTGTCAGTCACCGCAAGTGGGTGGGTTGCATCACAGTGCTGCCAGGAGCCCCTTGCTTCAACAGGGAAGATTCATGAGAAGCAAGTTGGGTCCCCTAAAGCCCTGTAGCAGAGCACAACTCTCAGACAAGCAGCCTAAGGGAACAGAGAGACCCCTGCAGAAGACTGTGGGCCCAGGGGATGGGATGCTTGCTGCACTCTATTAATATAAATGGAAAAAATAAAGCTGAAGTCCTGAAAAAAGAATCTGAACCAGGCCGAGCCGTTCCAGGGCTGAAGGAGCAAGGCCCACTTAGTTCAGTGGGAATACAGCCATGAACATCTACAAGGCCAGGGTTTACCCCTAGTCTTGCCAGCTCCGTGTTGTGCAGATTCACTCTCCTTGGTGCAAGCAGCTGCCATTTCACTATCGATTGTTTGCAAAGCCCCATTCACTACCAGAACTGTCTAGAATCAAATGGTGATGCCAGAATGTTTTTCCCCTAAAAACTGGGGCTTGAGGAGGGGTCAGAAATGCATTTAGTCTTTCCACGATGAATGTGCCAGGTTTTGTAACGTGATGTATTATAGAAAAAGGCCTTAGCTGGACAACACAATCAACTTACACCCAGATCTTAAGATACGTAAGTCATGCTTACCTGGGTTTTAGGCATCTAAGTCTCTAAGTATGATCCTCTTCCTATTCCAGCCTTCTCAGGTCCCCAGAAAACCATTATTTCACCTACTTTTGCAATGCACCTTAGCCTTAAGATTAAAAAGACCCACTCACGCTTGCCCAATAGCTTAGTGAAAGGGGCAATTGTCACTTGGTGGTGGGAGTCCTGGACAAACAGGCATGCAAAAACCAGGGGGTCCCAAAGAAAGCAACTAAAATGGACCCTGACTCTCGCCCAGTGAGAAGAACCCTCCCCTAGATTAGAAGTCGTCTTTTTCCCCCCTCATGCTGCTACCCATTTTATCTAATGTCTATTTAATGCTTTCCTGAGGCAAGGTGCATTTTTTTAGACAAGTAGCTGCATAAGCTTCAACGTCTAGCAGGCAGATCAAGTGGTTTTTTTTAAAGTCATTCTTACATTACCGCTGGAGTGCTGGAAAGGGAGCAAGAAGGGCAAATAAGTACACTTGGCACCTTTACAGTATGGGATAGGGGGGACCCAAGTCCCGGAAGATGTGCACTGAGATGTTGCTTCTCCAACGAGCAAGAATCCCATGTCACAACTATGAGTCACTGAGGAACCGTAAGCAAATTCTTTCAAGTCCTGGATACTGCGGTTCCCATTGGCAATGGCTGGAGGGGCAGCACAACCCAAAAAAAAAAACCCAGACCCAATAAATGTTGACATTAAACACTAATGGAAAGCTGAATCTGGTTAGCAAATCCATAGAAACGTGCCTTGTCGAAACACAAGGCAGCAACATCGCATCCATCTAGGTCTACATATTTCCAGCTGAAAACCTCACTGTGGGTGTGTATGTCTGGGGAGGCCGGTACACAGTAAAAGAGGGCACGAATTTACAGCACATCCGCAAATCCACACGAACTCCTGACGTAGAACTGTGCGCACCCTTGCCTTTGTGCAAGCTAGTTTATTGCCTGCCAGCAGGGAACTAAGCTATCCTGCATGTCCTGCACACAATGTGTACAAAGTACGAGATCAAGTGAGCTAAGACGGGGAAGGACAGGCTGTGGAACTGCTGACAAGGGGTAACGGCTCAAGTGCCCACAACTACCCCAGTGTGGCTTAGCACTAATTGCAGGGAACCTGTTTTCACTGTGAAGGCTCCTCCACAGAAGTAAACCTTTAGAGAAGGATACCATGCCTACATGCCTTCCATGGCAGATATGCAGAGAGGATGGAGGGGGAAATAACAGGCCTGTTGGGGCTTTTTCTTCTACAGAGCCTGTAACTGTTTACACAAGCATGGCTTACACTCTGGTGCAATCCAATGTTTTAGGAGCTGTATTCACCACCAGTCTAAGAGGGCAGAACTCCTCTAAAAGAAATGACACTGCACAGACCAAGCATGAATCCAGCCCCAACCTGTTCAGTTAACCAGAGAACTAATCCCCTGCTGGGATTTGTCACCTTTTTCTAATGGCCTGGGGTGAAACGGTGTCTAGCAACTGATACACCTAGATCCAAAAAAAGAATAGAAATGCACCTTTGCAGGAAGGAAAAGGTTGGTTCCAGGTTCCGGATGCTGTGCAGTGAATAGAGGTCTCTCCAGCAAGAGAGAAGCCAGGCTCACAGCTGTAATTTACAGATACCCCAGGGGTGAACACTTCAAGGTCCTGGCCGCTGTGCTTCCCATTGGCGATTGTTGGAGGAGACGGACACTGATGTTTCAATATGAACTTCATTGGGGGAAGAGAGTCTTTGGGCTGATCTAGAAGAGGAAAAGTCATTGCCACCCCAATAGCAGGGATGCTCACACACAAGGGATAAAGTTACTCACCTACCTTGCCTTGCACCCAATTCAGGTCCTCCCAGATAACCAGAGGCATTCCCACCTTCCCCATTTTGCCTTAACGCCACACCCACTCAAGAGCCTCAGCTATGAAAACGAACACGCTTCCCCTGTGTTCCCAACAGCAATTCCACCAATTTGGGGCCATGTAATTGTGCAGTCATGAACTGCTCAAAGGTCCCTTAATTCAGCAGCAGGATTGTGTCCAAGGCTGGGAAGACTCATCTGTTTGGGTAAAGTACTGGGGGGAGATAAAATGAATGGGAAATGGTTCTAACACCAGAAAAATGAGGGGAAGAACCAGACCGTTGTGTGTCAGAGGCGCTTATTTGAAAATATCAAAGCAGTAACAGCAGCAACAGATTGTAATGCCTCAGTGCAAACAAAACCAATAAAAGCCAGGGTTAGGCCAGAGTACTGATGCAACCCTCCCACACAAATATGCACCAACACACCACTAAACTTCTCCTTAAATATTGGTACCAGTCCTACACACAGACATGGGAAACACTTTATTAGCAGTAGAAGTCCTAAGTACTTCTTTACGTTGGCAGCACTTTATAAACCATCAAGTCAGCCTGAAAGTCACCCGGCCCCACACATGTGTGTCCACTATCCTCAGACTGCAGCACAGGTGGCCCCTTGAGCCTTTTACTGGAAAGTTCAGTCCCCAGCTCTGAATTGTGTGTGCTAGCACGTTTGTCTGAACTTCCAGACCCCGTGCAATGGATGGAGGCCTCTCCAACAAGGGAGTAGCCAGCCTCGCAGCAGTAGCTGACAGACACCCCAGAGTGGAAGACTTCCAGGGCCTGGGCATGGTGCTTTCCAAGGGCGATGGCTGGAGGTGGGGGTGAGAGGGGAAGGAGGATTTTCAGTGAAAACAGTAAACCAGTTAAAAACAAGAAGATTCCAACATGCAGATCTACCAGGGAGAGTAAGAAAAGCTCAGGATGTTTGTGCCAAGTCACTCATGCTTCCACCATTGACTCCACACACACATAACAGCACTCCTCCTAAGATTTCCCTCTTGCCAGAAGCAAGGTGCCTCCATGCTGCGATTTTTTTCTGTCCCCAGGTATCCAGTCTTAAGGAACTGAAATACTTTACTAGGAGAAAGATGAATTTTCAATCTGTATTTTGCTGCTTCCAACAGGAATTCACCATTGTTGGGGCACTCACAGGACAGACTGTTAATCAGAGCTCTGTGCAACAAGGGGTGGCAGGATGAAGAGGGACACCTACCATAAGGATTACTGCAGCAAAGAGAGGGGGAAGTCCAGGCAGAAGTTTGTACTTTCCATGCTTACTTCCAAAAGCTGATCCAGGATTCCCAGCAAGTTCACTTATCCCTCTGTGAATGACCCTGCCATATACTCCCCATGGCCATGACCAGCCCCCAACCGCGATTCATGCTTACCAAGACTGCAGTCAGGGATGGGGGGATCCCAGGTGCCATTCTCCATGCACCGGATCTCCTGAATGCCATTCAGCGTAAAGATGTCATTACATTCAACCCTCACTCTGTCTCCGGGTCTATACACAGGATGACGTCCATCCAGGTTCCTTCCATTTGGGATCTCTGGGGTTGTGCAGATGACCGCTGCAAATGAAACTGCGTGAAAAATGGGCTGCGGCACAAGGGGAAGCCTGCTTGGCAAAGGGTGGTTCCCAATCAAACCCTGATGCCTCTGCCCCACCCTGGCTGCCTGCTAGTGTACAGGTAGAGTGTGTTGTGTTGTGTTTGTCTTAAAGAGGCTCCTGAGATATAACCCATTGCCCTTTCAGCACCAATGTTTACTGCAGCCGATGGAGTTAGCTGTGCAAGCCACAAGTGTGGCCCAGCCTGTCTCACTGGAGGCTCACTCCCCAGCCCAGAACTTTGCATCTTTATCAGGTGTATCTGAATGTTTGCAATCCGTTGATTTAAATCATAGGAATGCAAACTCTGTAGCCAATGCACCTGTAAGCAAAAGGAGAAGACCAACAGGAAATGCATGCACCTTGGGCACACAGAGGATACGGAAAGCTCCAATTTCCAGACTCTGTGCAATGGATGGAGGCCTCTCCATGAAGGGAATAGCCAGGATCACAGCTGTAGTTTACAGACATCCCACTGGGGAAGGTTTCCTGGGCCTGGGCATTGTGCATCCCATTGGCAACGGCTGGAGGTGGCGGACACAGCAGCACTAACAGCAGGGAAAGA